TGATCCACAAGTTTGAGGACGCTCCGTCGAGGTCTGCCAAGACTTGAGGGCGCTCCGTCGAGGCATGCACAACCTTCGAACGAGGCCAGGCAGGAGCACGATTCCGTTTCATTGGCGTGGGCTCTGTTGACGTGCAGCGGCAGTCAGCGATGCTGGGGGCGTCACTCACATTGAGGCTCGTGGCGTGCAGCGCCAGCGGGTTGCCGCGGCCAAGTACAAGCACGTTGGCCCCCCCCTCCTCCTCCTCCTCCTCCTCCTCCTCCTCCTCCTCCTCCTCCTCATCCTCCTCTCCTCCTCATCCTCCTCCCCCTCCTCCTCCTCCTCCTCCTCCTCCTCCTCCTCCTCCTCTCCTCCCTCCCCCCCCCTCCTCCTCCAGCTCAGAGCCAAGGTCGGTGCTATGAGAGAAGCTCTTCAACAACTGCGGCACACGGTGCTGCAACGGAGCCCTGCCCCCGCTGACACACGGCCTGCGTTGGGCCAAGGGGTGGTGGTGCTTACGGCCTTCAGAAGACGAGCACGTAGCCCCGAGTGCGCGCTGCCGGGGAGAGGAGAATCCACGCGGCTGGTGTACTCATCCGTGCTGGCAGAAAACTCGAGCCACCCTCGCTGCTCGTCTCATGGATCCTCTGCTGAGCACGAGGGCCTCCTCGCACCCGCGATCATAACCCTGTGCTTTAAGTCGGGCCTGTCCCCCAACGGGGATTTTGGGCGAAAAGATAAAAATTAGCCCAAAAATACTCCAAAATAGTCAGACAATGGTGGAAAAATCGTCCCCATACGATTTCTTGACTATTTCTGATTATTCCCCCTGTAGAGGGACAGGCCCGACTTAACCCTGTGCATGCGCGCTGGGCGCTTCAGCAGGACGTGTGCCTGCAGGCCCCTGGCGCTCCATGCCCGACCCTGTCCCACACCATTGGGGTCCACGGGTCTTGGACGCATGCGATCTCGCCAGCCTTGGACGTTATATGACTTCACGTGCTGGCTCTCTTTCTGAGTGCGAGGCGGGGGATTATCCGTATCCGCCGCCTGGGAACCGACATCCTGGTGCCCCAGCGGGCGGCGGATATGGATACATTTGGGCCCCCGGGGTCTCGAATATGTCCATATCCACCGCCTGCCGAGGCTCCGAAAACTGACCCTCCAGGCGGTGGTCATGTATAAATTCCCGCCTCGGACTGAGTGCGAAACCAAGCCCATAAGAGAATAGGTTCTTGTGGTCCTCCTCGAATCCAGAGCGCTTCCAGTCGGCGCTGGAAGGCGCCAGACTGGAGCGCGCGTTGAACGAGGTGAGGACTTGGGTCGGCCCGGCAGATGGCCGAAGTGAATGGGACGTTCTGGTGCCGTTGTTCGTACTTGCTGCTTGAGGCAAAAGTTGGGCACTCATGCGATCACGGTGCACGGTGTGAGGCGCCGCACGCGCGACCTGATTGATACCAGCCGCTTTTCTGCACGCATGCAGCTGCTCCACACTCGAAGGAGAGTGGTGAACCAGTTGGAGGAGGGCTCAGAACAATGATGGTCTTTCGGCTTGGCGATTTTCAGAAGGCCGCCGAACGATGTTGTTACCGACCTTGATTGGAAGGACGCCAAGGACGCCTGCGAGCGAGTCAAAAGGGGGCAGAAGCTGCACCGGGCTGACGCTCCGGTCGGTCGGAGGCCCATTGACCTTGGAAGCGTCTGGGGCCTGTCTGCGCCGTAAGCCTCGCCCTCTTGTCTCTCTCTCTCTCTCTCTCTCTCTCTCTCTCTGCGGGAAGCCAGGGGTCGCTGCTGCTACAACACTGAAGTCCTCTCAAGGAAGATCCATCCGCGAACTGTGATTTTCCTTGTGTCTCCACCATGTATGTGTCTTCCCGCCCACGCACGGTCCAAGCTGCTCGGAAACGAAACGGATGAGAGAGGCAGAAGCAGGGAGGAGGGAGGGAGCAAGGGAGGGAGGAAGGGAGAGGGAGGAGGGAAGGAGGAGGAGGAGGAGGAGGAGGAAGCGGGGGAGGGGGAGGAGGAGGAGGAGGAGGAGGAGGAGGAGGAGGAGGAGGAGGAGGAGGAGGAAGAGGAGGAGGAGAAGGAGGCGGGGGAGGGGGAGGAGGAGGCGGGGGAGGGGGAGGAGGAGGAGGAGGAGGAGGAGGAGGAGGAGGAGTTTTTTTTTTTGACGAGCGCCCTGCCAGCCACCAGCCTTACTCCCTGATGGGAATTGTCTCCACCCGAATGCGTTCCTTCGGATGCCAGCCTCGTTTCACCCTGGACCAATACTCCGCTGCCTTTGCGAGTGGGCGTGTGCACTCATGGCGGAGCTGCTTAAATTGTCCGAGGGTCGAAAACGCTTTGAAGCGGGTGCAGATAATTAAGATCTGATCGTTCGAGCACTCGAGCGCCAGACAAGAGTGTCCCCGTTCAGTCACAGAACGAACAACCAGGGGCAAGTCTCCTGCGCAGCCCTCACACGAGGGACGCGCTGCTTGCCTGCGGAATCTGAGACAACGATTGCACCTCCAAAAAGACTGACCCATACCCAGACATGCTCTCCCTCAGGCACCTCAGCCTCAAGGCGGTGAGGGCGAGGAGGCGCAATGTAGGGAACGTCTGCAAGGTCCAGACGCGGCCAAGAAACGAGAACTTTGGCTGCCAGACGCGAGACTGTGCGCGACACCTTGAGCTGCCAATCCAGCTTAGTCTGCTGCTCATTGGTAAACCTGGGGTGAGCAGCGGCCCCAAGCTTGGCTGAACGATCAGCCTCGTCGTTTCCGATTTTAAAGAAACGCTCTTCGGGGGAGAGATCGTCCGACTCGGCCACATGGGCCTTCACTTTGATCAAATCAGAAAAGCGGGTCCCCAAAACATTAATCATGAGGCCCGAGTAAGGCCTCTTGTACGACAGCTTCTTAGAACGGTCGAACTTAAAGGCCCTACACACATTCAGACAATCTGAGTAGCCTGGAGCAGGGTCAGTGAGGCAGAGGCTAGAATAAGCAAGAGCCCCAAACTCGGCCGCCTGAGGGGTCTGGGGAAACCGATCCCAAAGGGGGGACCAAGCTCTAAGCTTCAAAACCTGCTGCGAATCAAAAACCGCAATGCCCCACCCTGCCCTGCTTAATTATTTCACTACGTGCTTATGACAAGAACCATCCATGAACACATGCGATCCAGAAAACAGTTGCTCATCTTCGTGTTCTTGATCTACCTCCCAACGAACCTCTGGAGCACATTCGAGAACAGGACGGGGGTGAAGGTCCCCAGGATGAGGGAACAGACCCTTGGTGAACAAAATCCAGTCCTCCATGGAACAAGAAGCAGGGTCAATCTCATTGGCCGCCTGCAAAACATCGGGATCTACAATTTCCTGTCTGAGCTCCGCGACCTCAGGGTCAGGACAAACCCAAAGCCTGTGGAAAATCGAGTCCGAGGGCCCGCCACACAACGCGCAACACGTGTCCTGCAGTTGATAACCGCACTGGGTCGCCCGCTCCTTGGTCCAACAAGCCCCGCAGACATTGGCTCTGATCGAGCCTTTCTCGAACGGCGTGTATTTCGAACTGCTGAGGTCGCGAATCACAGAATCATAACAGAGCCTGGCTCCAACGCCAAGCTTCTCGCCTGACAGCCGGCACAGTTGACGAATGACCGCTTCTCGCAGAAGATTCTTGATCAATTTGGGGGAAGAAGTCGTGAGAGAGAAGGTGACGCCAAGGTCGTTCGTCACCTGCGCGTAGCTGGGCATGCTCCAGCCGATGCGCTTGAGGGACAGAAACATAGCACCTATGGGGCCTCGCACCTGCCGCCAAGCAGTTGGCGGGTTGGCCCACGTCTGAGTCCAAGCGTCGCGAAGAACCGCAAAACCTAGAGCAAAAGGAGTCTGCTGGACCTGGGCATCCCACAACTCCCTGGAATATCTGGCAATCGGTGAAATGGCAGCATGATAAACTGGGTCCCCTTCCAAAATACACAGTGATGTAAGGGACCTGGACCCCGCCGAAGGTTTGACAGACTTCCCAAAGCCAGAACGTAGCATTCCCAATTCATAATCAGAAACTCCATAAACCTCTGAACCGTAAGTAACTGATGCCAGCGGCCCTGAAACAAAGATCCTGCGAGTGTGACGGCCTAGAGCTTGACGAGCCTTTCGCACCCGTCGGCAACGGGCTCTAAACTGAGCCTGTCTAGCCTGGGCCTTCCTACCTCGACCTTTGGTGCGGCGAGCCTGTCCAGCACCGTCATCGACACCAAGATTGATTGCAGAGCTGGTGTCCGTCGAGGGGCCGCCGTGCGCTCCCAGAAACGTATTCATTTCCTGGCCTACGTCGACGTGAGAAGCCACTACTGCAGCCTTATCTGTAGATATGGTCGCCTCCATATCGGTCTCCAGGGCCACCAGGAGGTCCACCGAGGCCCGCTTCAAAGACGACACGACCGATTTCGAAGTCCCCGAACTCGATAGCCCATAGTCGTCTATGTAAATATCTAAGGAGACCTGCTTGGGGAACCTGATGGGGTCCACAGTAGGGATGATGTAAACCCTGACGTACGATGTCGCTATGCTACAGCCAGCTACCACCCCGTGCGTGGCAAAGTGAGGTCCATGAAGAAGACCTCCTAGCGATATGAAACGAGCCCCACGATAAGCCCTATAAGATACCCTGGCGATCTGCATCGGGAAATCGAGCAACTGGCAACGGTCGAGGAGCTTGGGAAGCCGAATCGTTTCGTAGAACTTATATAGGTCCCACAATACTTTACAACAGCTCATCCCTCGACCGACTATATGTTCACTCTTCACTCCCTGACGATACACCACATCCGAGGCTGAGTTGAAAGAGCCTGAAGCCAAATAAAGACGCTGATGTTCGAGGAGGAGGAGGAGGAGGAGGAGGAGGAGGAGGAGGAGGAGGAGGAGGAGGAGGAGGAGGAGGAGGGGGGGGGCAGGGGAAGGAGGAGGAGGAGCAGGAGCAGGAGGAGGAGGAGGAGGAGGAGGTCGGGGAAGCCGAGGAGGTCGGGGAAGCCGCGTCCTCGGCGGTGCCCGGCACGAGGGCCGTGAGGCTGGGGTCCTCCACCTCCCCGGGCCTCGCCGGGGGGTCCGCGGCGGGCTCGGCGGCCTCGGGCCCGCCAGCGGAGGGCTCCGGGCGGCCCGCCTTGCCCTCCTCGCGGCAGGGGCGGGAGGGGGAAGCAGCAGAGGCGCGACCAAACCGGCAGGTTGGCCCCAATCCTTGCACCCCAGACCCCCTCGGGCAATGAAGAAATCGTGACGGGAGGTTTTTGGCTGTTTTCGGCCTCTGGGGACCCTTACCGGCCCTCGGGACCGTCAAAAAACGTCTCAGGATGAAAAACCGGTCCAGGGGAATGGGTCGAGACCTCCAGGGGTCGACGTAAATCATGGCGTCGGGGGTCTGGGGTCCTAGTGGAAGTTAAAGACTTGGCGAATTTCCCGCCGATTTTGGTAGCAGGCTGGGTTCCCGGGTTCCCGGTTATTGGTTCCGGGCCGATTTCGGTGGGTTCTGGGTTCCCGGGCTCCCGGGTTCCCGGTCGATCTCCTCAGCGAAAATCACCCACTGACTGGGTTTTTTCTCTGGTGTCATGGAAAATCAAAAGCAGTGCGACCTGCACGCATGACGTGAAGGACGTGCACGACGAGTGAGCAAGCTGTGTGCCACTGCGCAGAGGAGTGGGGGGGAGAGAAGGGGAGAAGGACAGGAGGGAGGGAGAGGGGGAGGCAGCAAAAAAAAAATGCACTGGAGAAAAATCCCAATCAATGGATGGTTTTCGCTGAAGAGATCGACCGGGAACCCGGCCGCCCGGGAACCCGAAACCCACCGAAATCGGCCCAGAACCAATAACAAGGAACGAACCCTGGACCCCGGAACCGGGAACCCGGGAACCCAGCCTGCTGCCAAAATCGGCGGGAAATTCGCCAAGTCTTTCAACTTCCGCTAGGACCACTTCAGTGCAAACACTGATTGGGGAAAAAAAAAAAAAAAATGCGACCTGCATGCATGACGTGAAGGACGTGCACGACGAGTGAGCCAGAGGGGGGGGAGGCAGGGGAGGAGGACAGGACCCAGACACCCGACGTCTCGATTTGTTCGAGACACGGGCCCCCGACCTCCCGACCACTTCCCCGGGACCAACTCTTCATCCCGAAGTCGTTTCTTGATGGCCCCGAGGCCTGGCGAGGGCCCCGAGAGGCCGAAAACTGCGGAAAACCTCCGTCTCGATTTCTTCGAGACGCCCGATGTCTGGGGAGGGAGGGAGGGGGGGGGGGCAGCAAAAAAACAATCACGACGGGACTTCTCAGGCCTGCAGTGTTGTCGGGCACCCGGGGGCCATCGTTCGGCCCTGGGGCCGCCGGGCAGCGGCTCTCGGGAGGCAAGAGCGGCCCCCCAGGAGCGGGTCCTGGACCTCCTGGGAGCCCACGCCGAGAGACAGGCACGACGTCGGAGATCTGGGGAGCCAGACCCAGACATGCTCGCTCGCGTCGTTCAAAACTCAAGACAGGCGGTTTGGGGCTACTTTCGGCCCTGGGGGGGCCCTCGCCGGGCCTCGGGACCGCGAAAAAACTATTCCGGACGAAACACCGGTCCCGGGGAAACGGGACCTCCAGGGACGCCGTCCTGCAAAAATCAGGACGTCGCATGTCTGGGGAGCGACGGGCAGGCTCGCCCGCCTGCTGGAGAAGCAGAAGGGAGGAGAAGAGGTTTTTTTTGGTTTGGAGCGAGACGTACGCGCCCGCGTGCAGCGAGGGTCCGCATAGGAACGGAAGCGGGCGCGCCTCCAGCTGCACTGGAGCGATTACGGGGCCATCCTCCGCCTTGCAAGCCGCGAAACACCACCACGAGCCGGCCTAACGAAAGGCAAATTCATGCACTGAGCGTGGCATGAAAGAGGATCCAGGGCGCCGCATGATTGAGGAGAGGAAGAAGCGTGGACAGTACACCACTGGCTAACAATTGACCCACATGTCAGCTCGAAAACCGAGGGAATCGAACTAGAACATTAAGTTCTTAGCCGTGTAGCGTACGGCGGGACGCCAAGCTTCAATCGAGGAGTCTAGGAACATCTTCCTTGAGCTTGAGCTTCGAAGTGCCGATGTTTCGCTGCAGAGCTTGAGCTTAGGATTGTGAGTCTGCAGGCAAGCCGAATGTGGTCTGAGGCGGCTCTGGGAGGTGCGAAGCGTGCAGCGCCAACCCGGACGACAGCAAAACACTTGCTGTTGCCTCGAAGATGAGTTGGCATTGAACTGCGTTCTGCAGTGCAAATATGTGAGCTTGAGCTTCCGCCCATCCCGCCACCATGCCTGGGTTGGGTCACGGGCTTCACGGATGCTTGCTGGGATCTCTTTGGGAGCCTCTGGGGAGCCTATTGGAGGCAGGCTTGAGCCTCTTGGGCCCTCATGGGGGCAGTCTGGGGGCCTCTTGGGGCTTCTTCTGGCCCTCTTGGGCCTCTTGGGGGCATCCTGGGGGCCCGCTGGCGATCTCGGGGGCCTGCTTGGAGCGGAGGGCTCGGAATCTCGACTCGAGTTCCCCATATTGTGCCATCTTGGCGCCATGTTGGGGCCCTTTTGGGTCATCTTGGGTGCCATCTGGGACCGTCTTGGCCCTCTTGAGCTGTCTTGGGGCCCTCTTGGGGTCATCTTGGGCTGTCTTGGGCCCCCCCTCGCTGCCGGTGTTTGCGTATTGTTCCATTGGGCTCCATGTCGCAATCCTTCGAACTGCAACAACAAACGCGGCAGAATAAAACTACGTTTGCAAGATCGAGCGCAGGGCTGCTGGTCGAAGTGGGTGACTGATCTCAGGCGTCTGATTGTTCTAGCTGGTCTCGTGCGTGTGGTAAGCGTACTTGGTCTGAGTCTTCCGGTTGGTCCGGCTGCTTTTGTTAGCTTGCATTGGAGCTACGTTGGCCAATCCTGGGCCTCCTTAGTTCGACCGTGATGGCCATTGCCACGATCTTGATTATAGCCGGGATCAGCTACAAACATATCCGCATGCAAAAACTGAATACGGTCTGTCCAGGTGGTCTACTTTGTACGAAAATTGAATCCAATTGATCTGGTTTGGTCTATTTGGTACGGTTGATCTGGTTGGTCCAGTCGGCAGGGTTCTTTCGAATCCGATCTCGGCTTGTTAGTCTCATCGGTGTGTCACGCAGGTTCTTCCTCTGGTCGAACTGGTTCGGTTGTTTTGGTTTGTCCGGTTCGCTTGGCCGGCCTTAGTCTGGTCTGGTCTAGCCGGTCGAACAGGTAATCTGGCTCTCCTGGTCTAGTTTGATTGACTATTCCTAGTCTTGGTTGGTTGGTGAGTTGGCTGCTCTACCTTGCTGGTCTGGTGCTTGGGCTGGTCCAGCTACTTTGGCCGACTTTGCCTGGTCTGCCTGCTGCGCAGGACCTCCACGAGGACGAGGACCAGCAGCAGAGGCAGCGGCAACGGCTAGAGCATGGCTGGTGTTCACGCCCAGGGGAAGAGGAGTCCGGGGAGGATCAGAGGGAGCAGAGGGAGAAGAAAATCTGCGTCAGCAGCCATATCAGCTCATTATGTCCCGAAAACAAGAGTTTCGCGATAGGGTCGAAGCACCTGTCGCTTCTAGCGTCTTAGAATAGGATCGACTCAGCTCGCTCTACAATCACACGCCATTACGCGGGAATCGACCCCGCTGTGCAGAGTCCCCAGTTTTCAGCAACATGCGATCATCCGACGGAGAAGAGAAAGAGGAGGAAGAGGAGGAGAACGACGACGACGAGGAGAGAGATAAGAAGAACTAAGAAGCTCACAGCCAAACATAGGAACTGATACTCAAAAGGGTGGTGTACAATACAAGTCTAGACCCAGCCTGAGGACGTGAATGACCACGTAACTCTTGGAACACGGGTGAAGCATAATGAGCGCTCGCGAGGCACATCGAAACATATTACAGTTAGGTCGTAATTGACAGGCAGATGAGACGGAGGAGGGAAAGCCAAGAACAAGTGTACCCTATACTGTTTCGTTGGTTCTGGGGCACGAGTCGAGCCACCAGAAGCCGAAATCGAAAGAAACCTCCAGATGTTCACAATGAATGGAAAATCCTCCTGCTCCTCCTCCTCCTCCTCTTCGGAGGGATCGGTGGCGGAGGAGGAGGAGGAGGAAGGTTATGATGATAAGGCGGGGGAGGACGGGAAAGAGGACGCGGCGGCGGAGCAGGAGCATAAAGACCATCGCTCCCATGGCTGGTCTAAGTAAGGGACGGCAAAGAGGGGATCGCTCTCCCCGGTGGCTCTGTCCCGAATGGTCCTCGACCAAGCCCTCCTCTCCCTCGGCGGCCTCGCCGCCGAAATCCGCGCCAACCTGCCCGACGACCCTGCCGCCCTTCAGCTTCAGGTCCTCTTCGTAGACATACAAAGACAGACACAGACACACACACACACACACACACACACACACCTCCTCCTCTTCCTCCTCCTCCTCGTCCTCCTCCAGCTCCTCCTCCTTACCCCCTCCACCCCTCTTCCATCGAAAGAATCCCTCTCTGTCGCATCCTGAAGCTGGTCGAAAGGGCGGGCCGGGCATTTCGCAATGAGACTTCCTCGCCATTCATGATTCTCAAGCTCGAAAAATTACAACAGCCTCGCGGATGGAGGGCGGCCCGCTCTCAAAAAATGCTGCCGTTGCCTTAGTGCCGCGCGCATTCGCCTTTCAAAAAGTGCATGAGCTCCTCACGGATGGAGGGCGGCCCGCTTTCAAATGTCTGCTCTCGCGCTGACGCCGCGCAGAATCGCTTTTAAAGAACTGCAAAAGAGCTTCACGGGTGGAGGGTGGCCCGCTCTCATGGATGCGGCTCTCGCCTTCGCGCCGCGCACGTTCCTCTTAAAGACTGGCAAGAGCTTCACCGATGGAGGCGGCTCCTATTCGAAGTGCCGCTCTCGCCTCAGCGCCACGCGCACTCGTCTTAAAGACTCTGCAGCGGTTTAAATTACTAGCATGGTTAACGTACCAGAAATGCGTTCTGGCACGATGTCGGAGTGTCAGGGCGCGACCGTCACTTTGATTCGCGGTGTTGAAATCCTAGGAACGGCTCCTGGCAAGATTCCTGATCGTCAAGACGCAACGACAACGGTGATTCGCAGCGTCGTAGTCCTAGGAATGGTGTTCTGGCACAGTTCCCGATTTCCAAACGGTTACCACCTTCCAATGGGGCACTTCCCTCAGTGACAATGAACCCTTGTAGGGGCCTCTGGATGGGGGAACGTGGAGAGAGGGTGTCTTCCAATATCGTTAACGGGCCCTTGGTTTACATTGGTCCTCTTCCTCCCCCTGCACCACCACCTCCTCCTTGTCCTCCGCCTCCTCCTCCTCTTCATATGCTTCTTCCTTTTGATATTATGAAAAAGTTAAGACTATTCAACGTAGTAGCCTAGTATGGTTAAGATCATTAGAAACACTAGTTGTCTTAATTGCCGTAGTATTCGCATGCTGGTGTTATGTCAATTCCTTAGATTGAATCGTAATCGCAGTAGTAGTAGTAGTAGTCGTCGTCGTCGTCGTCGTCGTCGTCGTCGCCGTCGTCGTCGTCCTCGTCGTCGTGCTAGTAGTAGTAATAGTTGCGGTAGTAGCCGTGGAAAGAAGTCGTAGTAGTAGTAGTAGTAGTAGTAGTAATAGTAGTAGCAGTTGTAGTAATAGTAGTCGTCGTAGTAGTAGTAGTAGTAGTAGTAGTAGTAGAGGTAGTAGAAGTAGTAGTAGTAGCAGTAGTAGTAGTAGTAGTAGTAGTAGTAGTAGTGGTAGTAGTAGTAGTAGTAGTGGTAGTGGTAGTAGTAGTAGTAGTACTAGTACTAGGACTAGTAGTAGTAGTAGTAGTAGTACTCGTATTAATAGTAGTAGTAGTAGTAGTAGTCGTAGTAGTAGTCGTAGTGGTAATCGTAATACTAAAACTACTAGTAGTAGTAGTTGTTGTTGTTGTTGTTGTACTAGTAGTAGTAGTAGTAGTAGTTGTTGTTGTTGTAGTAGTAGGCGCAGTCGTAGTCGTAGTAGTAGTAGTAGTACTACTACTACTACTACTAATAGTAGTAGTAGAAGTAGTAGTAGTCGTAGTAGTAGTAGTAGTAGTAGTAGTAGTAGTAGTAGTAGTAAAAGTAGTAGTAGTAGTAGTAGTAGTAGTAGTAGTAGTGGTAGTAGTCGCAGTAGTAGTAGTAGTAGCAGCAGCAGCCGTAGCAGTAGAAACGATAGTGGTAGTGGAAGTCGAAGTAGTATCAGTAGAAATTAAAAAAACAAAAATAATAATAGTACTCGTACTAGTAGTAATAATAATGATAGTAGTGGCAATAATAATGATAAGATTTCTCCTCCTCCTCTTCCTCGCCCTCCCCCTCCTCCTCATCATCCTCCTCCTCCTCATCATCATCATCCTTCTCCTTCCCCTACTCGTAGCCCTTCCTCCTCCCCCTTGTTCCCCTTTTCCTCCTCCTCCCCCCACCCGCATCACGAGCAGCATAATCCATGGATTCCCGGGGGGGGATCGAGCTGCCCCGTAGCCCTGATACAAGCGGATTCCAAGAGGGCCAAGATGGCCCCAAGATGTTTTCAAGACGGCCCAAGACACACTCAAGACGGCCCAACGAAACGTCCAGATGGCCCAGGACGGCCACAGAGGCCTCCAAGACGACCCAAGAGGCCTCAACGAGACCCGCAACGCAAGATGACCCGAAAGGCCTCCAAGAGGCCTCCAAGAGGCCGTGCTCCCAAATCCGCCGACCCTGTCGGCGTGTGTGAGGGGCTTGTCCGTTCGAGTCGTCGTCTTCGTCATTCGTTAGTCGTCGTCTCTGTCGTCCCCTTTCCCTGCGCTCCCCTTTACCTGGGCCCGTCGCCGCTCCCCCACCCTACCAAAGCAAAATTCAGCAATGTCGTAATGAACTCGAGGGGAAGCCCCTTCCCTTTGATCCCTTCCCGCGAGGATGGGAGGGGGGGTCCCGCGAGGGTCCCGGAAGGGTCCCAGGGGGGTCCCTGGGGGGTCCCGGGTCAGATTCGACTCCCCTCCGGGGGGTCCCGGGACCCAGAAAAGCCCCAAGACGGGCCAAGAGTGCCCCTAAGAGCCCCCCAAGACGGTCCAAGAGGGCCCCGAATCGCCGAACGATCTGCCCAAGACGCCTTCACGGCCTCCAGACGGCCCAAGAGCCCTGCAAGAACCCCAAGAGGCCAGGTGCACTCCCAAGAGGGCCCCAAGAAGAAAAGTAACCCATTTCCTTATGGTTTTGGAAACATGTCGGCGTTCGCGCCTCTTCCGCTTCCCGACGCTCCAAGACGGCCCAAGAGGCCCCCCAGATCGCCCCAAGACGGCCCAAAAGGGCTCAAGGAAAAGCCAAAACCGCCCAATAGGGCCCTCGAATTGCCCAAGACGCCTCCAAGACGGCCCAAGAGGCCCCCAAGACGCTTCGAAGAGACCCCAAGAAGTATCCATGAGGACTCTGACCCACGTCAGCGTCGTGATCGTCGCCGTCGCCGCCGTTGTCGTCGTTCTCCTTCATGGTCGACGGCACTGGCCGTAAGGCCTTCGCAATCATAGATCCCCCTCAAAAGGTTTAACTCATGTTGGTACGCGTGTCTTGTCTGCCTTCCGACGGCCCTAGACGGCCCAAGAGGCCCGCAAGATCGCCCCGAAAGCACCCAACTGGCCTCCAAGATGGTCCCATGACGAGCCAAGAGGCCCCAAAGACGGCACCGAAAGGGCCCCAAGACGGCCCAAGACGCCTCCAAGATGCCCACGAGAGTCTCCGAGACAACTCTGAAGCGCCTCAGAAGGGCACCATCTGTTTCAGAGAGGCCTTCAACACGACGCTCAACAGCGCCATTCTGGCCAAGAACGCCCTTAGAAGACCAAAACAGCCCGCACGAAGTCCCCAAAGGCCCCCAAGAGGCCCAAGGCGGCCCCCACGAGGCTTCCCAGAGACCCCCAGAAAGCTCCCAGGAGGCCCCCAAGCTGCCCCAAGATGCCTCCTTTTCCTCCTCCTCCTCCTCCTCCTCCTCCTCCTCCTCCTACTCCTCCTCCTCCTCCATTCCTTATCCTTCTAAGTAACTTCTCCCTGCCGCACACCGAAACCAATGTTCAGGGCGGTCTGGGCGTTTCGCCTGAGACTTCCTCACCACTCATGACTCTGAAGCTTAAAAATTGACAACAGTGCCACAGATGGAGGGCTGGTGGTTTTCAACACGTGGCTCTCTCCTTCGCGCCGCGCACATCCGCTTGAACAAAATTACAATTGAGGGCTGCTCCTTTTCAATATGTGGCTCTCGCCGTAGCGCCGCGCACATTCGTATGTAAAATTTGAAAGTGTTTCACAAATTCCCATGATCATCGTACCAGAAATGGCGTTTGGGAAGGATTCAGGATTAGGAGGGCGCAACGGATTCGTTGATTCGCGGTGTTAATGTCCCAAGAACGGCGTTCTGGCACGATTCAAAATCGTCAAGACACAACTGTCAGGTTGATCCGTGCCGTTGGAATCCCGACAACAGTGTTTTGGCATGCTTCCGGATCTTCAGAGGGTTGTCTTCCAACAGGGCAGCCCCCTGTGGAAATGAACCGCTGTAGGGGCCTATGAAGAGGGAGCTTGGAGGGAGGGTTTATTCCAACATCGTTGATGACTCGTGGGTTTTCACTGCTCCTCCTCCTCCTCCTCCTCCTCCTCCTCCACGGGGTTCGAGGACCTGGGCGTTCGGACGAAGTTGGCCCTCTTGTGGGCTTCCAGAGGCCTCTGGGGGCCTGGCCTCGCGGGGCCTCCGGAAGCCTCCCGGGCCTCGCGGGGCGAGCCGTAGAAGGGGGAGCACAGCTTGGTCCGAGGCAGGCGCGCGGAGGAGGGGGGGAAGGGGACGCACAGAAAGAAGAAGGGGGGCCCATCAAGCCTGGGAGATCCTCCTCCTCCTCCTCCTCCTCCTCCTCCTCCTCCTCCTCCTCCTCCTCCTCTCCACGGCCACAGTATCCACGCCCCCCAGTCCCCACCCCCCTCTTCCACGGCTCCGACCTCAGGAAGCCTCTGGAGACTTCCGGGGGGCAACACGCGCAGTGTCCCAAAGGTCGATGTGTTCAACATACGGACCCCCCTCGAAAGCTTCCCTGCCGGGGCTGGCACTTTCATCTTGGGACGTTTAGTGCAAGTCCCTGGGACCGAAACGGGCCTCCCAAAGCTGAAATTGTCCAGAAAAACGAACCCAAAACTTGCGTCACGCAAATTTCGAGCTGACTGCTCCGCTCCCCCGACAAAAAAAAAGCTGGGACAACACTCAGGAAGAGGAGAAAGAGGAGAAATAGGAGGAGGAGGAGGAGGAGGAGGAGGAGAGTCCTCTGGAGGCCCCTTCGGGCACCAAAGGTCTCTGGAGGCCTCCGAAGCCCTGGAAGCTCAGGAGGAGCCAGAAACGCCTAATACGCACGAAGACGCCCAGGAGAAGGAGACGAAGGAGGAGACGGAAGAGGAGCAGGAGGAGTAAGAGGGGGAAGATCCGGCTGGTGGTCTCCACGAGGAGGAGGGCGAGGAGGAAGGGGAGAAAGGACGGAGGAGGAGAAGGGATATCGGAACGGTGGTCCCGACAAAGAGGAAGAGGAGGAGGAGGAGGAGAGGAGGAGACGGAGAGAGGATGGACGACGAGAGGCGGGAGATGGAGGGAAAAAGGGAGGTTAGGGGGGAGAGAGAGGAGGAGGAGAGGAGGAGGAGGAGGAGGGAGGAGGAGGAGGAGGAGGAGGAAGAGAAGGAGGAGGAGGAGGAGGAGGAGGAGGAGGAGGAGGAGGATCGAGGTTGGAGGTTCTGGGCCCGAGGCCTTGGATGCACTCCGCCCCTCTGCGGGCCTCCGGGAGGCCTCCCGCCACCACTGCTGGACTTCCCTCAAAATGCCGGCCCGCACCCCGGGGCAGAATTTGGGACAACCGCGTAGACATCGACTCGCCATCGCTCGGACGTCCACTCCCCGTGCCTCTGTCGATGTCGCGCGTGTATTGACTACCTACCAGACCACCCCAACCCAACCCGAAGACCTGAATTTCGGGTTGGGGGGGTAAGGGTTCCACACGTGTTTTTTATGTTTCCCGACCCCCCCCCCACTGGAAATCGAGGGTAAATCTGAGCCTTCGGGTTGGGTTGGGGTGGTTTGGTGGGTGGTGATGTATGTTTCGGGAGGTGGCCCAAGATGCTGCTCGGTGGTCCTAGCCGAGGCTAGGAGCTCCGCGCCGATCTCTTGGATCGGCACTGAGACCCCCCTCCCCGACCCGCAGAGCGCGCCAGGGGCGGCGCCGGAGGCGCCCCCAGGAGGGGGGGCTCGGCGCTGAGCTGCGGAATTCCGCGCGGCCCCCCGAGAACTTCTGCTCGCGCGTTGGCTGATCGTCCTTCGATGGGGCGCCTGGGAGGAGGAGGAGGAGGAGGAGGAGGATCCGACCCAAGGAAGAGAGGAGGAGGAGAGGAGGAGGAGAGGAGGAGGAGGAGGAGGAGGAGAGCAGGAGGAGAGCAGGAGGAGAGCAGGAGGAGGAGGAGGAGGAGGAGGAGTGGAGGAGGGAGGAGGAGGAGGAGGAGAAGGAGAGGAGGAGGACGAGCGAGGAGGAGAGGAGGAGGAGAGAGACGAGAGCAGGAGGAGGCTTCGGAGGACGAGGAGGAGAGGAGGAGGACGAGGAGGAGGAGGAGGAGGAGGGGAGCGGAGAAGAGGAGCAGGAGGAGGAGGAGGAGGAGGAGGAGGAGGAGGAGGAGGAGGAGAGGAGGAGGACGAGGAGGAGGATCCGACTGGTGATCTCAGCAAGGGCGACCTGTCCTCGCCCGCAGAGGAGGCGTCGGCGCCCGCGGCGCCCAGCGCCGCGCCGAAGGACGACTGCAGGGTCTCGACCTTCACCGCCTTGGTGTCCGGGCTCAGCATCTCCTTGGAGAAGTATCAAAGAAGAGGCCCTGGGACACACATATAAATACACACAAATGAAAGGATTCCCCATATTATCTCATATTTTCTGAATTTTTGTCTTCACCCCCACTTCACCTAGTTTCCCATATTTTCTGGGGAGTCGACGACTAACTGTGTCTGTGTGTTTCTTTCCCCTCTTGAGAAGTGTCGAGTGCACCGAAGAGACGAGACGAGACGCGAGCGCACGCTCCGCTCTGCTCCGCCCGAGGCCCAGGTGTGGCAAAGAGGCCGTAGCCGCCGTAGCCTCAAGTGGGGCATGTCCCCCTACAAGCCGATGTTGTACGAAAAAGTAAAAATACCCCAAAAGTGAACTAAAGATGCTCAAAAATTGTCAAAACATAGTCCCCAGACTATTTTTTGCCTATTTTTGAATTTTCCCCGTGTAGAGGGACACGCCCGACTTAACCGTAGCCTCAGCAAAGAAAGTGCGAGCTGAACCAACAGGCCGGCCAGTAGCGTATTGGGCGAAGTCGTGGAGGGCGAGCCTGGGCAGAGAGAGGGAGTCGGAAAATGAGCGATAGAGTCGGGGGACCAGGGGGCCAGGAAAAGGGAGGGCGGCGCATGATAGCCTGAGGCACGTGCGCGGGCGAGGGGCCAGTGGACCAGTGGACCAGTGGACAGAAACAAAAATCATTAGAAGAAGGAAAAAAAAGAAGAAGAAGAAGAAGGACAAGAAACATGATAAGAAGACAAAGAAGACGAAGAAGAAGAGGTCATGAAATCTGAGATTTGTCATGGCCCTGGCAATTTTACCCAACATGGGGGCATGGCGACCCCGAACCCCGACTCTGTGGGGTTCTCGACTGGACCACAGATCTGGGGGCCCAACTCTGGGATATACGATGGGGAGCGTCCCTCCGACGCCTGTCCTCCTCCGGTCCTCCTCCCCAGGGGGGGGGTCTCAGGAGGGAGTCCTTTCCCTCCT